GTAAATTTATTAAGTTGAAAGCGTATAAGTTGAGAAGTCTGAGTCGTGATCAGGTTATGTTGAATAATGGTTCTTTCGGTTCTTTAGAAGTAGATAGCACAAGATTAGTAATCTGCACAAGTTAAAGATCTAAAACTACACGAATAATACTAATGCTAAACTAGCGGTATAATAACGCTACCCGTTACCAATATTCGATGTCGTACAGTATGACATGCAAGTATATAAACAAAGGCTGCATTGTGGTCAATTGTACTGGCTCGACATATAAAACAAACCACCTTTGTATTATTATTGAACAAACAATTAATACGAGTCCGATGTCTATGTTCTTGGACGTGGGACGCGAACAGTCCGGTCCGTGTCCACATCCGGCCCATGTGCCAATATTACCCGAAAATGTCCACGTCTGCAAGATCCTTTGGACACGGACACGGACGTCCGGTCCGGTCCGTGACCGCGTCCGTGTCTGGTCCGAGTGACAACACTGTTCGCGACTATATGTTTTTTTCTTTATAAATAAAGAAGAAAACATATAGTTGTGAAAACTAAAGTACTTGTATCTCGCGATCCACTGGGCCGATTTTAACGTTTTAACTGCCATTTTGATCGCAAGAAACTCCTCTACAACTTTACTTAAAGCTTAAAAGGATGTTTACTTAGTAAAGAAAAAGTGTTTCTTTGGGAAACTCCAGATTCTAAAAAAGACAAAATTTAATAGTAAATTTCTCCACAATTTACTAATTAATTTCACTGGTTCTTATGTGGATCACGAATTAATATATTTTTTTATAGGTGCAAGATTAAAAGAAGAAGCAAACAAACTTAATATTTCTGGTGGAGGTTTAAAACAATATGTTAGTACAAGATGGTATACTATATATAATTGTGTTAATTCTATTTTTAATCATAAAGAAGCATTAGAAAATGTAAGTATATTTAATAATAATTTTATATTTTATTAAATAAAATTTCTAAACTATTTATAAAATTATAAAAAATTAAAAATTTTAATATTAAAATATTTTAAACTTTTTAGAATTATATTTTGTTTTAAGAATTTTATTAATAAAATTATTTTATTAAAAATTTAAAAAATATTACTGTATTTTCGCGTAATAATGTGCAGGGGTGTAATTTCAAAATTTGGCCCAAATTAAGCTTAATTCAGACCATTATTTGAAATAATACCCATGAGCATTATTATGTGAAAATATGGTAAATAATATTTAATAGTTATTCTTCTTTATAGTTTTCTACTATATAATTATATATTTTTTATAAGCACTATTTTTTAATAAATATTGGCAATATATTTATTAAAAAACTTTATATAATTATATTACTATTAAAATTTTATAAGCATGTTTTTTTTATATAAAGCAAATAGTATAATTATAGAAAAGCGTAACTATATTTATTTTATTTAATTTATTAATATTTATATTTTAATATAATTAATTATTTTATATTATAGCTTAAATAATTCTTCAGATATACTTTTAATAGCTATTCTTTCTATTTTAAGATCTTATGCATTTTTTGATAATATTCGCATATTATTATATATTATATCCTGTTAAAAAGGCAATTATAACTTTGTAATCTCAGTCTTGTTCTCTTGCTAATTGTTTTTGTGAGCTTATTCATCTTGGGGCTGCAGTTAACAAACTTAATTTTAATAGCAATATATTTCGTAATCAGTGTACAGTCAGACCTCTCTAAGTGCATGCCCTTGGGACCACACTTTTATAACATGCAAATAGAGAATAATAAGAAAAGGTACATTTATGAAGATTAAATATATATTTGGGCCGGCACTTAAGCGTGCATTTAGAGAGTGTATGCACTTATAGAGGGTGCACTTAGAGAGGTATGACTGTATTGCTATTTTTAATAAAAGATATAATGAATTTGATAGTTCTATTTATTTGTTATGCTTTTTTTTATATCCTAAATATGTTGGTAAGAAAATTAATATTATTTAAACTATAATACTAAATATTTCTTATTAATAAATTCTAAAATTTTACTTATAAATTATTTAGAAACATATTAGAAACATGGAGTTTTTAGAAATTTGTTATTATTAGCTAATGAAATTTTTAAAGAAATAAATAAGTCTGATATTGCAAGAAGAGAATTATTATATTAAATGAAATTATATCATATTAGAGAAGCACCATTTGATATTTCATATAGTGATTTAGTAAATCCAAGTGTTTGGTGGTTTTCACTTGAAGATTGCTTTTCAAAAAATGAAGCTTATTTAGTTCAATTAGCTTTAAAATTATTTTTTATTATTCCTCATACTGCTGAAGTTAAACGTGTGGTCTAGATTAGGTTGGCTATATAAAACTAGATGAAATAGATTAGGGCTGCATAAACTTGAAAATATGCAAAAACTTGTATCTTACTATAATTCATATGCTAAACAAGAATTACTATATTATAGTATTGAAAAAACAAGTAATGAGATTTATGAAATTTTAATGAATGAAAATTTAGATGTAGATAAAGATTTTATTAAAATTACTGAAGATAGTTTAAATGATGAAAATGGTGAAAATGAAATATTTAATGAAAAAGATAATTTATTAATTGGTAATGTTTTGAATTTAAATAAGTTTTATAGTGATTTAGATGAATTAGAATTTAGTATGAATGAAGAATATAATGATGAAGAAAGTTATAGTGAAGCAGAAGCTATTTCAAATCTAACTCAAGAGGCTCAAAAAAATGTTAATTGGGATCCGATTGCTGAAATAGATAAAATAGTTGAAGACTTATAATCATTTTATTTATATTTATTTTATATACTTGGTTTTATTTTATATTTATTTTATATATTTAGTCTTATTTGATATATAGTTTTATTTTATATTTATATTTATTCTATTATATATATTTATATTTTTTGTTTATATTTATTATTGTATATAATTAAGATTTTTTCTAATTTAGGTTTTTTTATTTTAATTATATATAATAATATAAATAAATTTTATTCTTATATTAAAATTTACAATCAATTTGCTATATTAAAAGATATTATTTTACTTGGCACTTTTATCTTAAAAAAATGCCATAACCACTCACATGGCTAAAATAATCTAATAATTCAAGAATAACTAACTAGACAAGTAAAAATAAAAAATTAGAAGTAATTGATATATTTCTTTTATTTTACTAGATTTCTAATGCACCAAAATTAGTTATGTAATTGCTTTTTAAATTTCAATATATGCACAAGAATAATAGAATTACAAGATCACAAGATCTTTGAAGAAATAATAGAAGTTTTTTTTTATTATATTTATTCTATTTATTGGAATTTATTTGATTATCGCTACAAATTATAAGTCAAATTACACTCAATTTAAATGTATAGAATGCATTTCATCCAAATTCAAATTTTATTTAATACATCTATAAAGCTTCAAATTTGAATTTTTTATGCAATTAATAAAAGGTACTTTATTACATCCATTACAAGTTTTTTTGCTCATTCAAAATCTTTAATGTCATCTATTATTTTTTTGAATAGGTTTAAAGTTTGATTAATTACTTTTGACCTATTTTTTTTGGTTTGGGAAAATTATTTGGCTTTTTAAGACAATCAAGTAGCTAAAAAATAAATTTAATAAATAAATTTTGTTAAACATGGAAATATAATAAAAAAAGTTTATACCTCATGAAGAGTAAATTTTAGATTTGAATTCACTATTTTCAGTACTCGATTCTTCATTATCTATATTTTGGTTTCTAAATTTACCAGATCGATCATTAAATTGACTTGTGTGTAATTGATTAAGGTTGACATTCGAATATTTTCTCATAAAGTTTCTTTAACATCCGTAATGTGAAAGGATATTGGGAATTGCATTGTATCTAATTAATATACCATAATATTAGATTTAGAAATTTTGAAAATATTATTTAAAATTTGATCCACACATTTCTGTTTTATGTTTCATTTACACAGGTTGTATACTTAAAACATGACTTATTCTTATTTTGAAACGCAGTTTTTTAGTTTCGTAATTCAACAAGATGAATAAGTTGTATGTTATATTTTAGAAAATATTTTGTATTAAGATATTCAAAAAAATAAAAATTTTCATGTAAATTGTTGTTATTATTCTTACATTGTTACTGTTATATTTTTGTATTAATCATTAATTTTAATTTTAATATCAGCAATAAATTTAAGCTCTGTTATACGTAACTGATTTTGGAGATAGGTCTAGGTTTCTAAGGTTTCAGAAGTTTCAGAAGTTTTGGAAGTTTTGGTTTCACCAAGTTTCAGAGTGTTTTGGCTATTTCAGAGGTTTCGGCTATTTCAGAGGTCTTGGCCATTTCGGGAGGTTTCAGATTTTGGGTGATACTGATACTCCAGGGCCGAAACATTTCAGACTTTGGGGGAGGTTTAGGCCGAAATACTGGTTCAGACCAGTTAAAACCAGTTAAGAATAAACTATTAAAATAAGCTTTTAAAAGCATGTGGACATTCAATTTGATTGGTTAAAAAATGTAAACAAATAAATAATGTAGATCATTATTGTGTGTAACATGATTGATTAATTTCCGTAATAATTAACCAATCAACTTACATAAAATATTTATATTATTTTAATACTAAAAAATGAAAAAAAACTTTGCTTAAAGAAACTTATATACCAATAATTACATATGAGAATTTATTACATAAGGTTAGAAAACAAATAAATACATGTAAAGTGAAATGAATATAATATTTATTATTAAATACCCAACTTATTAAAGAGTTAATGTATAAATAAATTATTAGTGAAACTATTTTTGTTCTTTATTTGAAAAATCAAAGAAATTCGATCTTATTTTATTTCATAACCTTTATTAGAAATACAACATAATTTCTAGCCTATATATATACTGTATATATTATCAATCTCTACTTAACCCGAAGTTATGAATATAAACTCAATTAAAATAATTAAAATTTTATTTATTATTATTATCATTATTATTTTTTAATTAATTAACTTATTCGCTACATATTATAATAAAAAATGGTCAACTTGCGGTGTGCTTGTATTTGCGATATTATTTCTTTCCATATAAATTGTGTAACTTTCACTAATATTAACGAAATTAAGTTTGTAACAAATTATTTGCAGTAAGTTATAATAGAAATCATAACAATTATAATACAAACTAGCACCTTAACCAAATATTATAATTACAAAATAGTAAGTTCTATAACAGAATTATTTTATTTACTAGAATAATGAATAAGTTCTGTACCAGAATTCTGTTTATATTAATTCATGCTAAAAACTATGATGATTCCAATATAGATGCATCTTAATTAGAAAAAAAAGTAAGTCAGTAATAAAGTTCTTTGGTAACTCATAAATAAATTTGATGTAAACTAATTTAGTATTATTTGTAATCACTGAAATAGTAAGTTGTGTAATGAATTTTTTAAATAACTTATAATAGTAACTATGACAAATCTAATACAAAGACTAACTCATCTTAACCCTGAATAGCAAATAATTTCTATAATAAAATCATTTATAGTATGTAATTCATGATAGAATGCATGACAATTCTAATACAAACTAATGCATATTGTGGCCACTGAAATAGTATAAAAAAATTGATACAACGTATTAACTAATTCTTCAGCAGTTGGTCTGTTTCGAGGTTCTGTATCTAAGCATTTATTCATCAAATCCAAAAGTAATTGAGGAGCTTCGCATTTAATTTTGGGCCTATAGCCAAGACAAATACGTGTTGCTAAATCTTCATTGTGTAGAATATCTA